GGTTTTTTTTTTTTTTCTTTCCCCAGTTACTTCATAAATTAATAATTGACATTTTCTCGCCTTTTTTTTCAATTTTGCTTATGCTAAATTGTGACTTAAGAAATTATCAGTTCTATTTGTAGCCGCAGACTGTGTCCCAAACACCTAACATGGCTTAATGTATCTAATGTATATATAATGTATTAATGTATATATATAATGTATTAATATATATATATATATATATATATATACACACTTATATATTAATTTATTTTTTGCATTTTTATATCAACATGGAACAAGATTATCCTATTAAAATCAATGTGATAAACGAGTTAGGTCAAAAGTAATCTAAAAGTAGTCTAAAATGTGTAATGCAGTGGATTACGTTACTAACTACATTGTTGTCATGTAATTTGGAATCAGTAACGGATTACAATTATCAAGTAATCTACCCAGCTCTGATTAATGATATTTATATTGTAGACCACACTTAGTTTTCTCATTGCATTTGCACGTCTTTATCAGCAGAAGTCCCCTGTGAGCGGAGTATCGAGCGCTTCCAAACCAGTGTTGTTAATTAATCATAACCGAAACTAAATATGTCGGTTTATACGGTCCTGTCTTTTATCTTTTAAACAGTCCAGATTGATAAATCCTTGAAAACTGCTGGATTTGATTAGTTTTGACAGTGCAAAGTTCTGTTTTATGTTCTACAATATGAACTTAACAAGAGGCTTCCAGTTCTGTGTAAAATTATAGAGCGACACGAAGGTAAGCGCATTATTGTTGTTGTTTTTAATTGTCGGATTATAATTCAGTATGTAGCCTATCAATGAATGAGACAGTTTTGACTATGGTGTGTGCTTGAACGAGTGTGAAATACCTGCAACGTTGCTTTTTTTCTATCACTTATATTGGGCACTTTTTGCATTTAAATTGGATTATTCTGACTGCTGACGTTGAAAATGATGCATTTCTTGATTGCCGTTTTGACAGTGTCCGCTTGAATATTTTATTCATGTTTAATAGCCTAATTCCCTTTAAAGGGGTCATATGATGCTGCTAAAAAGAACATTATTTTGTATATTTGGTGTTATTTTCCACATACTGTACATTATTGTTTCCCCTCTATGCCCCGCCTTTCTGAAACGCGTCGATTTTTACAAAGCTCATCGGTCTGAAAAGCGAGGTGTGCTCTGATTGGCCAGCTATCCAGTGCGTTGTGATTGGCCGAATACCTCAAGCGTGTGACGGAAATGTTACGCCCCTCACCATACTGTTGATGCCGTGTTCGGCCGGGCGGAAGCCCCGGCTTAGCGTGCACTGAGGCCGGGCTAGAGTGAGCGGAGGCGGCGGGGTTGAGAACGGCGCGCCCGGCGGATCCGACGAAGGAGCGGCAACCACGTGACGGACCCCGGGCTGGATTCCTCTTCGTCCACGGTGAAAGTTGATGTATTCCCTCAGCGACCAGCACAGATCAGCTCCAGGCGTGACGAAGCGGATATCGTCCTCTTTTGGAAGACCAAACAAAGTAGTTTCGCTTTCACAACAAAACACACAGCGCCTTCACGACATGGCGGCGGCGTCAACAATACTACAGCGAGAATAAAAGTTACGCCTTCTTTCTTTGCGTGAACATTTGGGCAGCGTTATGCAAATCTTCCCATATAGTGATGTAGACATGTGGGGGCGTGTTAGAACGAGCCGTTTTAGGTAGGTGTGGCTGACTCTTAACTTTTATAAAGAATATCTCTTTGGATTTGAGACTTTAGTCTTTGCAACTTTACAGATCTTCTTTATGCACCAAGAGCTTGTAACACTCCAAAGAGAAAGGAAAAATTGAAATCGCATCATATGACCTCTTTAATGTAGGCTATTTGCCCAGATTCGATCCGTTTACCTGAGAAATTTATCTAACGTTATATTTATATTATTTTGTCAACGTTATTTTGTTTTAAGGAGTTAAAAACGGCCCTTATCAACCTTGGTTTACATATTCCATCACATTATTTTGACAGTTAAATTTTTGGGCGGGTTTTTGTGAGCTTTTGGGCTGGAAATCGTCCATCTAATCTGGCAACACTGCTCCAACCGTTTTGATTCAACTGATTTAAAGTTTCGAAAAGCCTCGCTTCTCCCATCAGCTATTTGCATGCTTATCAAAATATATATGGGGCACAGAACGAATTTATTTTCGCCGCCATCTTGCTCCGCCCCGTTTTCCAGAGGTGTGACGTCACTCCCTCCGACCGCAGCAACAGGCGTCCGCCAGAGAACGAGAGGAAAAGCGCTTTGAACTGCAACAAGAGACGCTGAAAACCCGCTTCCACGCGAACTTGTCTTGTCTTCTGAACATCTGAATGCTTTTGCGGTATTTAAAACACTTAAAGGTATTCGTGATCCGATGTTCGCGAACAAAAACTCTCGCGGAAGGAAAGTTTAGGAAGGCCTCTGACGTCACGCCTCTCGGGACTCTCATCTAATAGCGTTACAGGAAACAACAACAACAACAACAACAACAACAATAGCGTTACCTGAATTTTTAACTCGTTTAAAACCGTAAACAGATAAGAGTCCGATCCGGATTCTCTGGGAAAACATCGATCCTCAGCGAAGATGATGCCGGTGAGCGAGCAGACTTTGCTTTCATATTCTCACTTAACTTATATAAGAGTGAAAAACTGTGTGTTTTGCTTCTTTAATATCTCATCTCAAAAGATATTACCTGTAATGTTGTCACCCATTGCTCGTGTGACTTAGTATTTAATGTTCGTCGATATACATGGGGATTTTAAGTAAGTAACATGTGTTGTTATAATAAAGCAATGATCAGTAAGTAAAATAATCGCACATTATATCTTAAAAGCCCTTGTTTCCAGTATTGTGCTTCAGTCCTGACAATATATTACAATTTTAAAGGGTTGTTGTTTCTTGTGTTTGTCTGTTAGTCACTCTAGAGTTTAATCTCCATTGACTTAAATAGTGTTTAAATGTTTATTTTCCAAATTCAGAATAATTAACTTGCAAGAAATCCAGACATCCCCCCCCCCCCTTTACCCCCTTCCAAGGA